CCAAAGTTTCAGATAAAGAAGTAATCATTAGAATCCCTTAGAAAGGAGGATTTATGTTTATGTAGATGGAGCTGATAAGTGAAAGGAGACACAAACAGTAAAATAATCAGGGCGCTGATGCCAGCAAGTGTAAAGGCATGATGTGATTAGTTTTTACAATCACTTTGGAATTATTTCACTCTTAAATTGATGAGAGAATGCTTTTTATTTTCAGAGAGTTGAGGTGCTAGGTTTGCATCTTGGTTTTGCTAGGACAGATTTCTTTTTGCAGGGATGTCTAAACTAGTCAAAAGGAAAACAGGGTGGTTTTTTTTTTTTCATCTGTGTGTTGTTAAGAATTATTATAAATAACATCATGAACATGAATATTTACCTCATTTTAATAACTTAAATAAAATTATCTCAAAAGTCAAGATCTATTTTGTCAGTTTAACTATGTATCTCTGATTAGGATAGTTTTGAACATCTTATATGGCTTATTCCTTATGTCAAAAACTACTTGCCAGTGTCACTAATATTTACAGTTCTGTCGCCAAATTAATCTTTATATTACATATAACTTTACAGGTAAACCAAACTTCCAGACAGTTCTTGAGCACCTCCTGGGTAAAAATCATGCCATGAGCATGAAACTGGTAGACCTAGCTTTGTTTTCTATTGCACAGACCTTTGTATAATAGAACGACTCAACTCTCACTGACTATAGTAGCAGTTGAGGGTCTCTTGCATTTTAGGGGATTTAAGTAATAGCCAAAATATGAGTATGTAATGCATTCATCATACATAAAATGAAAAGACGCAAGTAATTGAAAAGGAGCTGTCCTACTTCTGGAGAGGGCAGTCTTTCAAAAGAAAAAAGATTACCTCTGCGGAAGAGAATGCGATGTCACTACTCAGTGATAAAGAAGCAATCTGCCTTAATTTGAAAGGACCTGCCTAATGAGCCATGCTTGGTTCCCTTAGACAAATTTATTACTCTCACTTAACATGGACATCATTATTAATTAGGCAAGCAGGAGTCATACCATCCTGTCAGCAGAGATGCTGGATTACCCTGAAGCTG